ACCATAGCGAAAGCAAAGATGACTTTAGTGAAGAAGAGAGTTACGTGCCCCCATCAGACAGTGATGTGCGTGCAGTTGGCCGTGCGGATCGTTACTGTGCGAGCTGCACATTTTGTCGCAAGACGATGAAATGGTGGCGCAAGCTTTTTTCTGGATTCTGGATGTTTCCATTGGCAACAGTTTTATTTTGAGGTGCATACAGCTGCAGATACATGGTCAACACGAACAGCGACACCTGAAGTACCGCTGCAACCTCATCCAACAGCTTGTCGGTGACAAGAGGGCTGGAGCCCGAAAACGAAGCCGGTCTGCACGGAATGATTGTGAAAGGCTAGATGGAAAGAGCCACTTCATCCAGAAGCTCCCAGGGCGAAGCAGCAAGGACTGCGCCGTTTGCAGCGATAGGCAAACAAAAGGAGGCAGGAGGGAAACTGTGTTTTCCTGCAAAACCTGCAGCAACAACTCTGGCCTGCACATAGGGGAATGCTTTCAGCAGTATCACAAGCTGCCTAAATACCGCTGAAGGAGTTGCCTGCAGAATGCAAGGGCAAAAATAAATATCCTGTGAGTTTTTCTTCCGCAGTTCGTGTTTTTCTTCGCAGCACCAGAAACTGGCAAAATAGTTTCGGACCGGTAGAGACGGAAAGTAGGTAAAAGTATTGGACCACAAAGGGTTAAAGAACCCCAAATGGCCCAGGGCCCTCCACTACGGCTTCTCTCATAGTCATATGGTGGTTTTGGGATGTTAAACCTCACATATCAATCAATAAATAAATCTTTTTGTGTATTTTAAGATAAGTATAAGATGGCATCTTCTTAATACTATAATATTAAAAAAAAATCTTGGCCTTTCTAGAGTTCATTATAAATTACCTTGGGGGACTACTGTATGCACATTTGCAAGTTACCCGTTGGGCCATATTCATCATCATATTGTTATGTAGGGAAGCACCCACTACACCATAATTCATCATTTTACGAAGTTGCAAGGCAACCGCTACATGCTGGTAAGGCAATTGCCCGCGAACATAGCCGAGCACTTTGTTGATGAAATAATTATGCCTGAGCCCTTTGTGATTGGGAGGGACTCTTTAAAGGGCCAGTAAACAACCTCAAGGTCTAAAAATTGTAATCAGGATAAATTTCTGCACTTTTGCTAACATACTAAGTGTAAGAAAACATCGCAGCTCCAGGCACACTTCTGGCACCACGTTTTGTGTGTGTGTGTGTGTGTGTTGAGAGTGTAGCCTGTAGAAGCTCCCGCCTGCTGCTGGGGCAAAAGCTGCGCGCTAATCGTTGCCATAATAGTGTGGCAACCATAAGTGTGTGTGTGTGTGTGTGTCCCCCCCCCCCCTTGTGCACTTAAGAGATAAGCATGGGCACAGATGACCCCAGCTAGAAAGGCGATGTTCGCTCTGCAGAAAGAGGACGCTAGCGCATCCTTCACTGTATATATATATATATATGTGTGTGCGTGTGCGCGCAAGGTATACATATACGTGAATGGCTGCGGCGGCGGCAAAAATGAGCCTAGACTGCCCATATGATTGCTATCAGAATAAAAAAGTCAGAGCCTGTTTGCTGGTCCTTTAAAAAGACGCCAAAGAAAAAAAAAAATGCCAGGCCTTGCGTGGAAGGCGGAGCACTGTCACAGCGAAAGTATGAAGAGCGGCCTTTCAGAGGCTTTTCCAAACACTCTTTAGGTAAATGCTAGAAGCACACTTGCTGGGTACCCACTAGGCCTTAAATGCTCATAATATCTGCATATTAGGCCGGCATTCACTATGCTATCCTTGATCGTTATTCGGAGAAACGTGGTATCTGCTAAACACTTGTAACGAATTTTGTGTTGCATTCAGTGGCTGACAACAGTGAAGGATTATGCATGAATTGGGTATGTGCCACAGTTTACGGGTGATGAAGAACAAGCTTTTGCAATGTGTGAAAGCATTGGACGACTCACTCATTGCACGATCCACATTGTGTGAAACATGGTTGTTCCTTTGCTGTTCCATAAGGTTTAATTACCCATAATAATGCGATTCCTTCCTGACATCAAGCCTGCCTAAGGCAAGTTTACGAACGTGTCCCAAGCACCGGCGTGCCTCAGCGGTAGAATACTGGGCTGGCACGTGGCCAAGTCTCCCAGATAACCCGGGAGACTCCTGGATTTTGACCATTTTTTACGTTTGTACGCTTGTCATAAAAAAACTCCCTGAAATCGAAATTTCTGTGCATGATCCGGCCACATTGACGAAAATGCAGGCCAATTTGATCCAGACTTTTTTGCGAATCCATCGCATTTCGTTAACTCATCTCAGTGATGTGAGACCGACAGATACGAATTTGCGAACTTCCTCAGCCAAGTTCTACTGTGTTCATTGGGCCAAAATTTGTATGCTTCAAACATTTTTTCTCATCGCGGCGGGTGATATGACCATTAATATTGTCACCGCCGAACGAAGCCCGAGAGCAGCGTGCTCAAAACTTCGGAAGTAGTACGTGTGTGGCCAGCCCGCGCACTTTAGTCTACGCGGTTGCGGGAAAAATCACAGTGGCCACTGCGGACAAAACAGCTCTGGACAAAACCACAGTGGTCGTTCTTGACACGATCATGCATGGTGACGACGTAAATGAGGGAACTCCAAAAGTGTGCTCCCGTCCAGCGCTACATGAGTCAAAATGACGCCCATGTCTGCAAGCGGTGCGGACAAAAAGGTGGCAGATACGATCATAGATCGCAAAAAAACTACTTAGTTTTGAAGGTACGTGCGCATCTAGTGCATGCGAATTGAAAACATATCTACCGTTTGCTGCTGCCCCCATGCACGAATCTGCTGTCATGGCTATTTCAGCGGTTAATTAAAGGCAATAAAGCTGTAAAAAAGGCTAGAAGCGTTTTGGCTTTCCTGTCTAAAGAATCTAGTAATGCATCTTAATGCTTTAGGGGTAGCCAACTGCTCCATTCCCGCTAATCACATCTGTCCCAGGAAGACACGCCAGTTCTTTTAGCAAAAATGAGTGATTTTGCTAGTTGTTTTGATGACACGTAATTTCGGGAGTATTTGCGCGCCCCTTTTGAGACCCCCACCCTAGGTGGGAAACCCTACCCTTGTCTGTTTGGCCACTCCAAGCTGCAACGCTGATGTTTACAGTTCTCGGCTCCCCCTCCCCCCATTTCTCGCGATGTGTTTTTTTTTAATTAAAAAAGGGGGGACCAATAAATTGGCCCGACTGCCCCCCCCCCCCCCCCCCATTTTGCGGAAATCTCCCAGATTCTGAATCCTTGAACTTGGCAGGTATGAGACAGTCATAGCTTTATATTCTGTGCCAGTTTTGTTATTGTTTGTTACTTTTAATTTTCGTTCATTCCTTGATTTTATTTTTCTTATGTAGCTCCTTTAGCTTTCTAGTAAATTTTATACATGTATTATGTTTTTCTTATGCTGCTCACGACATTTAACATACATGTGCTTTAATATCAGTAGGCCCCTCAGTCAGCTCTTGTCACTTATCAATACTTATCACTAAAGATGTTAGTGTATGCAGAGAAGCTGAATAAAATTTACTTGACTTGATACTTGGTACATACAAATGCATATAGTGTGGTCTTATGATGCATGATGAATAAGTGCCTGCATCGTCAGGCTCTCCTCATTGCTTATACTTATTTAATTCTAAAGGATTCCGTGCTCCAGGATTCTGTTGATTGCAGCTCGTTTGGGCAGGACGCAGCTCTATTGAAGGGACTCCATGGATTGTAGCTCGTTTGGTGGGACATTGCTCTTTTAACCGAAAAGCGATTGATACCTGTGAATTGGTGTTTGCATATTCGTTTTCATGTTAATGTACAGTTTGTGGGGTCTGGGATTGTCCTACACTATTACTGTACATACATCTTAGTGAAACGAACCAACAATGGAGCTAAGGGGCATGTATGTGATTTTACTTGTATATGTCAACTGTATTACAATTACTCTGACATAATTAATGAGAACAAAAAAAGGATTGAGCCCTCAATCAATACCTCCTCTTTCAGCGCTGCAGTATTGATAATGCAATGCATTCATTTGTCATGCTTGTTATTTCATTCCACCACTATTACCTATTCCAGTGATATCTAAATGATGGGACAGTGTCCTTACATATATCACTGCAATTCAGCCCATAGACTCTGTATGTGTCAGTCATAAAAGAAAAACGCCAGGCCTGCGTGTAACATGCAGTACAGTTTCAGCGAAAGCTGGAATAGCAGCAGCCTTTCTAAGCCTTTTTTGGGTAACTGTTACAAGCACACTAGCAAGCAACCCGCTACGCCCGAAATTATCATAGTTTATGGGTAGTAGGAAGGTATCCACTATGCCTTTCTTCATCATTTGTTGGTAAGTGTGGCACCCACTACACACTTGCAAGGAATTTCGTGCATTATTTTATGTTAGGGCTGACGAGGAAGAAAGATGCTTGAGGCTTTGGCAATGGGTCGGAGCAATCGACGACCCACTCGTTACGTAATTTGCATTGCGTGATGCCTGGCTGTTTCTTTGCTGTTCTGAAATGCTTTTCTACACATATTATCGCCATCCCTTTCCAGACGTAAATTCTGCCTAGGTTCAATTTCCAAAGGAGTTCCAAGCATTGGAGTAGCTCTATAGTACAGTAAGACACTGGGCTGGCACCCAAGAGACCCGGGTTCGGGTCACATTCTGTGCTTAGTGTTTTTTGTTTTATTTTAATTGTTATTTTTTAATTTCGTGCAATAGTGGTTACGGACACCAGCGCCGGCGGACAACTACAGCGCCAAAAATGGCTCTTGTTGTGATCTCATAACAGCTGTCGCTGTCAAAACATGCCTCTGTCTCTTCACGAGCCCGGCGATGTGTGTCTGTAGTTCTTACAGAAAAATCGATCCGCCGAGAGTATTCAAATCGTTTTTTGCATTTTATGAGCATCTGCCATTCTCCTGTCTATTTCTACGACAATTTTTTTTTTCTGTTTGTCAGGAGCATCTGGTAGAGGTGGTTACCGGCAAGATTCCTCGCCCGGCAGCAGACACCTTTGGAGGTGAGTGCACTCTTCACAGCAATAGCTGCACTTGATTTTGACATGAATATCTGCTTCACCATTGCTGTGGTGTAAATTTGAAAGGTGCCGAAAGCATGCTTCTAGCTACACTCTTTTTCTTTTTTTTTTTTACTGCTCACTTTGGTGACTTTTTTTACTGCTCACTTCGGTGACTGGAAAAACAAAAAAGAAACAGGCATAAAAAACACTGAAAGTGAGAAAGAAAAGCAGTCGGCCCATTTTTCAAGAAGAACAGTGTTTTCATGATTGAGAATAACGCCACTTTCAAGTGCAAGTCACAATATGTGTGTGTCGTCAGACAGTTTATAAAACATAATTATTATTATAAAGACGTACGCAACTAGGGTAAGAAACGCAGACACCATCATATGTCCATGCTATCATACCTGCGTTTCTTCCGTTCATTCAATGTCGTAATAGCGGCAGTTGTGTGAAATAGCAAGTATCTGATAGGTGGTGAACAAGTTCTCCTATAGATGGAATTGCCGAGCATGCGCTCAGATTCCGTGGAAGGTCTACATTATGCAACAAAAGAGTGTTTAACGAAAATTTGAACGCTATCCTATTTTCGACGCAAAGGTTATTATTAAATAAGAAGCTGTGTCTTTGTCGCTGTCTGTAATGCGAATTCCAGAACCATTTCTCTTTGACGTTTCACGCTGCAGTGCAAGTGGAGATGGTTACCACCGGCAGCACTCCAGCGGATGGATACCAGGGTGGAGGAGGAGGAGGGGGCAACTGGTCCAACAGAAACCAGGGCGGAGGACCCATGCGTGCTGGTCCTGGCACCGGTTGGGGTCAGGTGAGTTTCGCCAATTTGTGTTTTTCCTTTTTTTTTCCTTCTCTTTCTCCCTCTGTCTCGCTGACTATGAAGTTCCAACAAAACTTGATTTGTGCCATTGTGGGTGACCTTACTATGAACAACTCTGCAGGCTGAAGCAGAGTAAATGCTGGATTACAGCTTGTAACTTGTACACCCAATCAACAGGTTTCATAGTGCAACGGGTTAACATTAATACATTATAAAGTTACCTCGAAAATCATCTATGAAGCTCAAATACCGTACAATGTTACAACAAAGGCTGATGACAGTGTGTGCATTATCACTGTTTTGTATATGGTTAACATTGCTCAAGCGAAAGTCTGCTCTCGTTTATTGGGCACTGTTGGAAAGTTGCAGTTGTGGTGATTGAATATTGCCACATAGTCATTACAGTGAAGATGGCACTTGGGCTAAACGTAACTCTTCGTGTGTGGGTACTTTTGCCTAGGAAAGAAAAGGTCGGACTACAAGCAATGCACACTGCATGCTGATAGTGGCGGTCACAGCATCGGGCCGTCGGTAATCTGTTCTGAAGTCACAGTGGCATTTATACACGTGGCATCATAGGTTAAAGCCTCATCGTTGGTGGTCACGATAGTTTGAGAATAAGGTGCACTGTTCACGTTGCGCACTCAAGGTTATATTATCCCTAATGATCGGTTCCTAGACTCTCCAGTACAGCGTACATAAGGCAGTGGTTATGCGTGTAACAGGTCACTTGCATAAAAATGGAGAAAGCTCCTGTAGCAGTATGATACACTGACATCATCCTATAGTCACGGTGTTGAAGCACCATTTAAGTGTGATGCTGCAGGTTTCGTGTCATGTGCAAGTCATTCTGTGCTTTAGGACATGAAATCGTGCACTGCAGAGGTCACTTGACATCTGCGCCGCTGTTGTACGTGCAGGTTATCGTAGTCATCAAGTGTGAGTCTGGCCACGCTACAACTCAAATTACAGTGAAACCCCTGCCGGGAACAACGGCGAAACTACGCACCAAACGTACTACGCATTAATTACCATCTACAAATTGGCATCTCCTGGCATGCGCCATCGCCACCTACAAGGGAAAAAAACTCGCTGCAACTGGGAATATTGCCTGATATGCCCAGCGCAAAGCCATTTCTTTCCTTTAGCCAAAGTACAGAAAAGTTTATGACTCTCGCTGAACAGCCCGATAGCACGCAGTAGTGACTCGGATGAGCATTACGAAACTGCCACGAGATCCGAGATACACAGCGTGGTACAGCGACAGAACTGACACAATCGGCTGTTCGTGATACAGTTCTTGCGCGGTCTGCTTCTAAGTGAAAAGTGACACAGTTTCCTTTTTCAAAACGCGGTACAGTCGCAGAGAGCCAAACCTTTTACTGCGTGGCCAGTTGCGTGCAGCGGTTTGCTCACCCTGCGCACTCCGTGACTGCTGATGCGCTTGCTGTAGAGTACACCCTCACAGATTCCCCATTCACAGATTCGGCGAGGAGCCTGCTGGGTTGACGCGGCGACGAATAGCTTTCCGCAAGCAATGTGCTCGCTGCAATTATCTAGCAGTCCTGGCAGCAGACAGAGGCGCATTCAAGTTGTCACGAAACGAAAGCGTGCAGCATAGTAACAGCACCGCCACATTCGCTGTACGGTGCGCATGTTTTCATAATACAGCAAGATTTCTCTGTACCCGCGATCCGCAACGCTAAATTCCGCGACAGCGAGCTGCTTGCATTTCTGTAAGGCGGTGCGCGCTTGAACATGGTCCTGCAAAACGAAGCGGGAGCGATCGGCAGCTCAGCGCGTTCAGGTGTAGTTACCTACTAAAAGTGTACAGTAGGCCTAAAGTGACAGTAGGCCACAGGCGTGCCTGAGCAGATAACCTGGGATGTTTTCTGTAATAAGGCTTTTCGGGGGCGATAAGTCATACCGGCGCGTTTGTCGGTGGTTGCCACCTCGCCCTCGTTTTTTCCCCAATAATTACTCGCAATGTCATTGCCGCAATTGCGCAGAAGCCGAAATAGCTTATTGGCTGATTTTGCATTTATCAACATGATGGAAAATCATTCATGGCGCATTGTCGCGTGTGCAAAGTTCAGTGGAGCAGTAAAATTTTGTTGCGCAAAATGTTATCGCTGCACGCAGTTAGTACGCAGTTAGTAGGCTTAGGCCGAACATTACGGCTTAAGCAGTCCGCAAATGCATTAGTTTCTATGAGACATGGTCGGGGATTCGTCACAACTACGTTTTAACTGTTAGTACGTTTAAAGGGGGTATGCACTAACGAGGTTTGACTGTATTACAATTCATATTGTTTTGATTTGCTGTACAAGGTTCAAATCAATGGAGCAGCAACTGCAAATTTTGTTCAAAGGGCGCGGTCTCCAGCGCTTTACCAACAGACGTTAGGGGACCACTGATAAACTTTCTGTGTTTTTTAATGCTTATTTCACATTTACAGCACTGACAGATCGAAAACTGCTTTGGTGCTTTCAGTGAGCGCATTCCCTTACCGGCGTTTCGTAGGGTTATGCAGGATTTTATCCAAAACAGTTAGCTGTGAGTCTTGCTTCGTATAATGTTTCAATTTGTCACTATCGCATTCACCGCTTCAGCTTTGCCGTGAAACCTCGCTGAAAAACCTTTGCTACAAATGCTGCCAGCCTCAGTGTCATTACTTCACCCTTGCAGCAATACTGTGACTTTGTAATTGGGAATAATGTTAAAATGCAAGTGTAGTTCTGTAAGTTGTTTGCATTCGGCTTCATTTCTGCACAGTCGTCTTCACCACACATTCCCCGCTCCTTACCGCCAGCCACCCCAGGAGCGCGGCTATGGCGGCCAGCAGCAGCACGGCCAGCGGCATCACCCGTACGGTGGCAGTCGCCAGCAGATGCCACCCCCTTCGTCACGACAGCAAGGTGGATACCAGCAGCAGCAGCGTCATCAACGCCACCCCACCTGGTAGAAAGTTCGGACCTGCCATTTCACGCCATCATGCTCATTCGATCAAGTCTGTGTACATCAATAAAGCGTCACGACATGCTCGTTTTAACATGAGAAACTCAGATCGCACGTGGTTGCCCTTTGTTGTGGTCAGGCTTGGCATTGAGTACTGTCACGTGGTCATCACAGTGAAGAAGATGGCACTCGGGTCGTTGGCATTGTCCCGTTTACTGCGAGGACATTGTTGGTCATATATGTGGATGTAGACGTGCAATGTAACCGCGTTGTTATTTAAGTTGTAGAGCATTCTTCTCGAGATTGGGACGTACATGTTTCAATTCCCAGTGCTGTCGTGTACTCACTGGCTTTTACAGCGTTAGATGTTTAAGTTCACTAGAACTGCCTGTAGGATATGTTTTCCAGCTAGTTGGTTCACGATTTTCAGTAGGAAACAGTGTTACAGCAGTAAAAACGGTGCCGTGTTTTGTGTCCTTTTTTCATCTCGTCTTGGGCTGTTTTTTCCTAGAATTGCCTGTTTTGGGGACATTGTCTGCCGCCACTGCTTTCCCTAGCATCTATGATGCATAATGTATAAAACTGGGTTTCGGCTACTATGGAAACCAGGTGTACTCCATGGTAGTCAAATATTCCACACAGCGATATCGCAGTGCTTGAAACTTCTCCCAAAAAAGGACCTAATCGGGGCATCACGTCTGGGCAGTGGTTCTTATAGCAGTGTGGTTTAAAAGCCTAGAGGGACACTCCACATTTCTTTGTTCTTTTTTTTTATGTTGCCTTTGTGTAATATTTTTTTAAGGGTAGAGCTGTTAAACTTTTGCTTATGCCACGGGGCAACACCATCGTGCTATTACCACGAACCAGCACGCGTTCTTTTCGCCCTTTCTTCATGTCCGTCGCTCTGACAACACGTTCGCCGAATTGTCCTGCGTAGGGTGCAATAACTGATGCGCGTGTGAAGAAGTACAGAGACAGAGAGATAGAAAGAGAGAAGGAAAGGCTAGACAAATAAGGTAGGTGATATAGCGGGTACAGAGGCAGAGAGAAAGTGGAGAAAAAGAAAAGCAACAGACACAAACACATTGGGGGAGGAGAAGCATAGCTGTATATAGTGCAGTACTTTAAAAAAGGGCATAGTCATAAAAAGTGGACATCGGCCAGGCACGTTAACAGTAACTGACTGCTTTCTCGGACAAGGCTAAACTAACAATGGGGAGACAAAGTTAGGTGGCCTGATGAGATTAAGAAGTTTGCGGGTAGAACGTGGCGGCAGAAAGCAGAGGATCGGGTTGATTGGCAGAACGTGGCAGAGGCCTTTGCCCTACAGTGGGCGTAGTGTGACCGATTACGATGAAAAGGGTAGGGAAAGGTAAAGAGAAGGGCAAGGCCCCAGTTCGGCTGTTCCCTCAGTTTTCGCACCACTATTTAGGCGCCCCGGATTAATTTTTTTTCTTCATTTTTATCAGATACTTGACATTGTAATGCACACACAGTGAGCAGCAGAACCTGTGTGTCATGGCGTCCTTAAGCCATATGTCGCGAGCACGTACCCATGCACATAATACCTCTATATAGGTCAAACAGTCTCTCTCCTAAGAATAGAAACTTTGTCGAGTTGGTAGGCGTCTGTCTTCAGTCGAAGCAGCGTGCACGGGATGGAAGACAAAAAGGCGGCTGTTTTGTGCTAATCTTGCCGTGTGCGCTGCTTCTACAAAAGTTAACTTTAATTCCATACTTTCCTTTAAATGTAATCGGCTCTTGGCCAATCCCCCAGTGTGGGTGTGAGTCGCAGTTCTTTACCGTACTCTACTCAAAGCTTCTCTTGCTCACTTCTTCTTTGATAGTCCTTTAACTACAGGCAAGGGGCTCACGGGTGGTGTATGTATGATTCGAGGTCACGCGCTTATCGCTATCCGACTCCTGTCTCGAATGTGCGTGTATAGACAGGGGGTGTGTTCTGGTAAGATTGAACACGACGTCCTGATCACTATTCGCATAGGCGTGGGCAGGTGTCCCATTTAAGGGGGGGGGGGAGCTCGTCACAGCGTTCTCTCTCCTTATTTAGTCAATGGATGGATGGATCGATGGATGGATTGATATGGCTGTACCCTTTAGATCGGGGGGCAGCTAACGCCACGTAGCCATAATACTTACTGATCCAAAAACTAGATTTATCTTTTTTTTTCCTTTAAATAGTGAAGTTGAGGACTGGTACTTTGCAGTGAAGGGTTTAATTTTCACTCGTGCCTTGACTTTAGCCACCAATCGGATAACCTCCTTCTAGTTAATTTTACCGGCTTAATGTCAATTTTGCCCTCCCTGTCCCTAAACCCCAGTGCTTTGAAAAACTCTGCGCCAACATCCTGAACTATAGGGTGAAGCCTTTTACAGAACATTATCAGGTGTTCGGCAGTTTCTTCTTCCTCTCCACATGCACTGCATACCGTGTCTACCCCTTCACATTTGGCCCTACATCTCTTGGTTCACAATACTCTCGTCCTGGCCTCAAACAGTAGAGAACTACCCTGAGTATTATCATAGATTCTTTCTTTGCAATTTCCTTCTTAAAAGTTCTTTAGATCTTTAGTGCGGACTTCTTAATCATACCACTTCTCCACATATCTGCCCTTGTTTCTTTCACCTTCATCTTAACCGATAGTTCTTCATGGTTTAACTGCTTGCTCTTTTCTAAGTATTTACTCCTCAATTTTCTGGTTCATCACTTCCTCCATTCTGTATCGACATTCTTCATGTACAAGTAGCTGAAAACCTTCCTAGCCCAACGCTCTTCCCCCATTTCTCTCAATCGCTTCTCAAACTGTATCTTGCTGCTAGCTTCCCTGCCCTCAAATGATGTGCATCCCATATCACCTTGTGCTTCCTGATTTGGTGTATTCCCGTGAGCTCCTAAAGCAAGCTTACCTATTTCACGTTCCTTAGTTTCTAATCTTGCTTGAACTTCTGATCTCTTGCACAAGACCGCATTGCTGAACGTCAGACCAGGAACCATGACCCCTTTCCATATTCCCCTCACAAGATCATACCTACTGTAATTCCACAGTGCCCTACTTTTCATCACTGCTGCATTCCTGTTACCTTTAGACGTTAAGTATCTTCCATGTTCCCTTAGGCACTCGGTCCCATTACTTATTCATACACCCACATAATTGTATTTATCTGTTACCTTTAGCGTGACCTCCCGTATTCTAAGCTCACTACCTTCATTATCATTAAAAATCATTACTGCAGACTTTTTCGTACTGAATCTGAAATCTAACCTATCTCCCTCATTACCGAATATGTCTATCAATCTGCAAATCTTTCTTGTTGTCGGCCATTAGCACCTATATTATCTGCTTACATCAATGCTAGTATTGCCTGTTCAAGTAGGTTTCCTTGTTTGACGAAAGAGAGGTTGAAGCCAAGTCCACTTCCCCTCTAATTTGGCCTCTAATCCTTGTAGATACATCATGAATAACAAAGGAGACAGAGGACACCCCTGCCTAAGCCCCCATTTTACCTCTGTGAACTTGGATACCTGTTTTTCCTACTTTTATAACTACCTTGTTACTTTTAAAGATATCCTTTAAAAGATTAGTGACTCCATCTTCCACAGCTAGTGTGGGAGTTTGTCTAATATATGAGACAAACTGTGCCCCCTCCCTTCATATGTGACGAGGGGGGGCCACGCCCCCCCCCCCCCCTCGTGCGCGCGCCTATGACCATCGCCGATTTTGTTTGATGGAATTTTATATCTGGTTTAAGCCCCCAAACCACGGTATGATTATGGGGGAAGATTTTTATGAAATTTACTATGAACCTAGGTATTAGCGCCAGAACAAGTTTCCAACTTCATTTAGTGAAAAAAAAAAAAAGTTCACCTTAAGAATATAACTTATGGCGGTGTGCAAAGCGCTTTTCCACAAATTTTGTGATTCCTGATACCTGAGCGCGCGTAAGTAAAGAATGGTGGGCTTCTGAGTCACAGTATTTATTTCACTTAAAGAGAAAGTGACAGGGAATTACTTTTCTTGTTTGTGAAAAACATTTTGTGGAAAAAATCACAAACATGGGAAAATGAACAAATTTGTACCCGCATTTCAGGAACTTATTGCTACAAACGACTTACACAGTGCACTTGGTGCGTATTAACTTTGTTACTCTCGCTTTATTTTTGAATAACTTTCCGAGGTTTTATCGCGCTTTGTTTTTCTTCATAATTGTGATTAAACCTAAGTGGTTTACCAAGAACACCGAAGTTTGAAAATATTTTTCTCAAAAAGCCATTTGAATTTCTCTTTAAATCCCTCTAATATAAACTTATCTATCATTCTGTATTAAAAAAATCTCATCAGTTTAGTTGCTAACAAGTTTTAATGCGTAACATGTGACCAAAAAGTCGGCCTTGCGGCCGCACCGTTCGTTATGGGCTGAAAATCGGCTCTAAGTTATTCAAAGTATAATTGTACGCAATGTAATCGCAAATAAGCAACTCGACAACAACAAATTCGCAGCCAGTTAGCACGGTACAGCAAGCTTTGTTCTGCAATCAGCCACTTGGCAAATCCGTGGCAGCGGCCACTTAGAGGACTTCGCTTAGGAACTGCGCTCAGAGGACAAATGAGATGCATAACTGTGAAACGTTAAGCATTCTTTTTCTAAATCTAAGCACGCTGGCCTCAATCATTTCTACTGCATCGAAATGCGGCCGCCGGGATTCGATACCGCGACCTTCGGGTCAGCAGTCCCTGCAGCGCGTCGAGACTTTCTTACACAGACAAACCGTGTAAAGAGCTGTGGACCACACTTATTCTAGAGGTATAGGTAGACCTATCAACTAACTTTACCCGTGAGAAAATGGATTAGTGCGAGTGTAATAAAGCGAAAGTTCATATACGATCTACGAAATTTCTGCACCATGGTTTTGCCAGAAGGAGCAGGCTGGCTCTTTGCATTATTATACGTTGTGTTCGCGCCTGTCGAATCCAGGAAATGCTGATTGCAGCGCACAACTGTTGTCATGCACCTGTGAGCATGTGGGCATCGTACCTGTACAGCTGCGACCGCAGTGCCCGAGTTCACGAGTTGGACTTCAGGTGTTCGCTGGGAAGCGGAAATCTCTCCTGTGTGGAGCTATTGGTCTGAAAGCTGTCTGAAAAATTAATCATGTATCATAGTCTCGCAAGAAACCGCAGTGCGCTGTTTCCTCCTTACTCGGATTATAATTAAACTATGGTGAGCATCAACGCGAGTTTTATTCGTTTCTTTCCAGGCATCTGAGTTCAACTCGGGATACATCGTGTTACACAATTGGGCGCTGCCGTGCTGTACTTAGGACGCCCATGTATTTTTTTCGTTTACTATATTTTTCTGCAGTCT